ATATTATATATATAACTCGACATCATCCTAAGTAGCAGAAACATTGTTCTTGATCCACTTGACCATTTTTATTGACCCGCTTAAAGTTTTGTATAGTTAAGGATGATTAAGAAAATATGATATTTGGTATGAAATCTTCAAATATATATTCAAATATACTGTACATATTATATCATTTTAATTAAAATCGATGTGAATCTTTTTAAGACAGGCTACTAAAAATGGGTTGAATGATCAAAAACAATGGTTTTGCATCAAAGTATATTGAGGTCATTAAAAAAAAAAAGTATTTAAAAGTGTAAGAATTTATATAGCACAAATATTATAAACAAATAAGCGGGATCAGGTTATGTTGTATACTAGTAAGTTATCATATTAAGAGTACATATATAAGTGACATACTTAGAGAAGTATCATTATTTTACTTACTCTTTTGGTTATGCTTTCTGCTGTGCGATCTTGCTGAGATATATTTTCATCAATCAAATGGATAGTACTTCATAATTCCATAATCTCATTTTCGGTTGCCGTATCAAATATTTGAAAAGATATGTCTTTTAATAATTGGCATTCAAAAATGCTGCGTATTAGGTGAATTGGTTGCTGGACACTTTCAATAAACACGTCTTTCAAGGTAGGATTACTTTCTGCAACACGTCGAATTTCTTTCATTATATTTGTCTTACTAATTAATTTTTCTAAATTATCATCCATTTTTTTTCGCATTAAATCGACATATTGAAGTCCAAGGTTTAAAATTAACATTATGTGTTTTATGAGATTTTTTCAAAAATATTGGGGCAGTGTTCTTACTGCAACAAAATAATCGAGATCTAGAGCCAGAAATAAGCATATATAAGATAATTATACACATGTGTATGTACAGCAATGGTCAGAGCCACCATCTGTGTAAAGACATAAAACAGGGTTATTGATGATATTTTTTCTAGTTAAAATATTATATAATTCTACTGCATATCATATTGGTGAGGAAGGTTCGAAGATGGCATCTTTTAATCCAATATGAACTTCTCCCGCATAAAAGTTTCTATTAATAGACTCTGGAATATCACATATCATCATAACACTTGGTATAATTCCTGTTTTTGTATAGTCATGATCACCAACCATTAATATAGAATCTTTACCAACAACAACTTGCTTTCTCCTTTCAATAGCAGCAACTGGGTATTCAGGTTCTCTGACTTTGCATCTATGTTTGTCATCTAAGAACACTAGTGTAGTAATTTCATGAAATTTTGCAGCAAACTCTTTTTCATATCTAAACAATGCTGATGCATAATGGGCATCCGGGTGATAAGCGTGAAGCTGCCAAACTTGTACCATAAATTTTAAGGGCAACCGTTTAGTAAATTGTAGACTGCTAAGTCATGTAGGGTTTTTAGGTCAGAACTGTAAGCAAAGCCATCGTTTACTTGGAATTGGTGTATTTGGTGGGCATTCATTTTTTATTTGGTTTAGCAAGTCATTAATTGAAATAGCTGTTGCTAAGTATACGATTGCATCATGCCAACGTTCATCAACTGCGGTTACAAATTCTACTGCTTTGTTTGCAAGAAATTCAGCTGCAATGCTCCAAAAAACTTCATACTTACTTGGTCTTCCAGGATTGTGTTCACGTAAATCTGTTGTAATTTTGGGATCATCTAGCTCAATAACTAATCTAATTCGTTCGTCTACTTTTGCTTCATTCATAGACTCTGGTGCAGATGAATCACCTGTCAACATATGATAAATTGCATGAAGTACTGCCAGTTTAGACTTTGGTAAAAGTAAGTCACATGTATGCAAATAATTTATTCTCATTGCACAGGTATGATAGTAAGAGGCACTTGACTGAAGCTCATTAACTATATGGATATTTTTTTGTATCATCGTGGTTTTATTGGCATCATCATCAATCTTCCAAATTGAAATTGCGTTAAACCCATTATTACCGGAGTTAAACCTATATTCACCAATTTTAAAAGTAAATGCACAAGACAGTCCTTGTACATATCGCATTCTTGAGCTATAAGAAAAAAAAAAGATAAAGTTAATTGTTAATTGTTGTGGGCAGTGTTGGCAAAATATGGATATGGACCATTAGACATGGACGTTTATGAACTATGTCCATATTTTTTTTATTAGATATAAGGCACTTAGTCCAAATAAACACATAAGCTAACAGTTTCGAAATATCCCGAATAAAAGAGCGAAATTGAGGCTAAAATTAGAGTGAAGCTCCAAATAAAATTTTTATTGGAATAGTCCAAATGCCAACACTGAGTTGCAGATGATATAAAATTTGGATCCTTTTTAATGCACTAAACTCGCTAAAGCTATTTATATTTTATTGAAAATTCAAAAAAATAAAAAATAAAAAATAATGCATCAAAAAATTTTAGAATTTCATATTAAAATATATAGATCCAGATTTTTATCATCCGATTTCAACATTATTTATCATATTATTTTAAATTTGCATACACAGGGTCCGTTGACAAATATTTTTCAAGATCAATCAGTTTCCATAAAGGTAAATCTTTAAGTGTAACCTCTAGTTGGTGATATTTAATCTTATTATCTGGCATGACTTGTAAATTACTTTTGTGTATTTTGATTGTTGTAGCTCGCTCAATACTTCTTACTAGAACTGTTGATGTATGGTTTGCTATAGTATTTATATTCTGTTGCTTTAAGAAATTAACATAATTTAAAATAGTTTCAACTAAGTTCTCATATGGTTTACGAAGCCAATCAAATATCAGTTTGAACATCCATGGTGATGTCATAAATGATGCAAGGGCCTGACAATGGAGATTTAATTTGTCTGCATCAAAAGGCTTTCGGGACACTTTATATGATTCAGGGTTAGCACGACCAAAAAATTCTAGAAATAATTCAGGAATATGAAAGCTACATTCTTTAAATTTTAAATGTCCACACATATTGATGTACCAAACAGCTTCATACGAACAATTGACAAAATGTTTTCCTTGTATATCAGCAGATTCAACTGTGAACTATCCTCCGCCATGTTTATGAATGCATTCAATGATATCGTTATACAATATATTTTTTCTGTTTAATCGTGTTGACTTCAAAGAACTTGGTATATATATTTGCTTTTTATGAGAATTTCGTATAAGTATTTCAAGAGCATTGGGGGGAGATACTGAATGAGAAGTTGTAGGATTGTTGAATTTAAGGTGATAATGTATATTTACACCAAACATTTTTGTTATTTCTATTATTTCACAATTAAACCTTGCTTGAATAGCTGTTGTCCCTATGGATTGGCTCAATTCAACGCTTTCAATGATTTCAAAGGGGTCTATATTAATGTCGCATTTTGGTGATATTTTTCTATCGATGAATTTGTCAAAAAATTTTCTAATAGACATCTCATATGGAATGGTATGAATATACCAACCATGAAGAGTTTTTGACCCTTTTGAAATACGTATATTTGCGAACGGTATATTCTTGTTAGGCTGTATTATTAGAAACTTGATGTGAAACTTTTATAAGTTTGTTTATTATCAATTTGAAATCTCTAAAATAACATTTTTTTATTTTTGCTTAAAATACTTTTTATGATTGAATGGATTTATATTCAAAAAAATTCACGATATCTTAAATATACGAATGATACTTCTTTATTCTCAGATAAGTATTATACAAATTTATTTGGTTAGTTGCTTTTGAACTTGTATAACTATTTTTGTCAATTATTAAGTCATAGAAACAACAATAATGTGCAGAACACGAATATGCAGCGATATCATATTTTCTACTATACAATACCATATACAGTATTTCGTTGTTTTTTTCAAAAAAGCTAAGGTAAATTAAATGATATTCTCGGAGGTACTATATAAGAGATATTATGAAGAAAGTGAGTTGATTTGAGTCATGAATATAATATATATCAGATTTGTGTTATAATATTGAAACAAGCAGATGCGCTTACCAATTTTCTTGTACATGCGCCTTTTAAATATATCAATTTAGTTTAAAACTAGAAGTAGCGACAAGCATAATTTTGTAAAGAACTTTTTGTTATTATCAAAAGATCGATTCATAGACAGATTGAGACAATCAATGGCTTTTTTTTTTTTTTAGAAAGCAGTTTAACTTTATGATAATATTTGTCAGTTGGGTATGTATATAATAATTATCAAAAACCTTTCTAATACGATTGGCACTTGGTTAGTACCAGATACTTTTCAAAAATATTAGTTTACAATCGAATAGTATCCTGATACTCTTTCAAGATGGTAATATATGTAGTGATATACTCTAACTGATATGCATTCGTCTAGGAAATGTAAAATTTCTTAAAAATTTATTACTTTAAAAAAGCAAATGTTATATCAGCTGAAATCGCAAAATCGTGAGAAGAATTTGACTTTAATAAAAAAATCAAGAGCTAAACAAACTTGAAAATTTTAGAATATTTTTTTTACCTGTTAATTATATGCATTCATGCACATGAATAAATTCAAAAAGAAATTGCTGCGATTTCTTTTTTGAAGTTTTCCATTTTTATATACCGTAAGTGGAAACAATGATTATTGACCAAGTATTACGTATTGTTTCGATTTTGTTTATATATGTTGTATTTTATCACTATTATTATTCAAATTTACTAAACTTTAACTGGGTAAGTGCAATTTTATAAATGAATAATATAGTTGGTAATTTATAAATTTTTGCTTTATCCTATACTGTGGCACCAGGGACCCGGGATGTCATATGATGTACTTAACGGAGTATGAGTTATCTCACCAGTACAGTGACATGTTCATAGAAGGATATTCGTCTGATTGGTTGATATAAATCAATTATCCAGGTAACTTATTTATACACTTTAAAGTACTTTTTGAGAATGTGACGTTTCACTAATAAAAAATCACCACAAAAGCTATTTCTAACTTCGAAACAACGTCAATATTCACAGTACAAAATAATCTCTAAATCATCTTACTCCTAACATACTTTACTTAGAAGACAGAATATTCAAACGCCTATTGGACAGCGTGAAATTGTACTGTGAGTGAAGGTAACTGGGAATCTTTTCGTCCAAAGCTACTTTATTGCATTAGATTTAAGTAGATTGTTATTGCTAACTGTTTTAAGTTGAATAGGTTCAAGCTCTTTCATAAAAGATCCGGGTTTAATATTTAAACTTGTTCGGTTTTTTTAGTATATTTGGGCTTATTAACCATAAATTAGAATTAAGTTTATGTTTTGTAGATTCTTTAATGAGTTAGAGTTTATTAATAATAAATATCACATTTACCCATTTTACGTATATCTATCTATTTTCTAAGTATATATAATAAATTCTTTTGCGTGTATTTATTAGTTTGTAAGCTTCTTTATATAGAGTTTCTTTTCGTTTTCTAATAGTATTAGAACGATAAATTCTTTTAAAAATTATATAATTTGATTGGTTAGCTATTATGAGAAATCACAGGTAGATCTACAAAAATTAGCCAATTATATGAATGTCTTCCTATGAGTGACACATAGGTGGCCAATTCACCATACCGGTAATCTCCGCAGATACGAAAACTCTGGCCTTTGAGAGATGTGAAAGATCCGAAATTGTCTAAGGACCTTTGAGATACGGAGGAAGGTAAAAAAAAAAAAAAAAAAATCTTTGCTTTATATAAACAGTTAACTAAAAGCCCAACACGAGTTAACAGACCGATCATTATTGCAGCTTTACGGGATCACATGTGTACTCTATTGCAGTGTTGTCACGGGACAGTTGTGGACAGTAAGTTTGGACACTTTGGACAATTTTGGACAATTAAATAAAT